AATAACATTCCCCGATACAACAAACTATTTTTATCGTTCCTGTGTCTTGTTATAACAGAGTAAAGGACAGGGGTTCTTTTCATGAGTTTGTTTCAACACCTCTACAACAATTTCAGAGATATAATCTTTATTTTGTATTTCCACTTTTTTCAGCAAGATGGACAGCCATCAAGTGATACTAGATAAGTTGTGTAGACTCTGTGGGGGACGTTGTCTGTTATCAATGGCGGCAAAAAGTGGTAAATGTGCCAAATTGTGTAGTTGAGTGCCAAAAAGATCATGGCAACATTTCACATTGATGCCAACAAAGATAACAAGTACATTCACCCCTTCATATGTGTCATTCTTCGGTTTCTTTGGTAATAACTGCTCCTAACTGGCCAAGTCACCCCAGGCTGGGTGCCTGCCCTGTGTGTACAAACCTTGTCCAACAGCCCAAGCCAGGAAGAAGGATGACTAAGGTAGCATCTTGTGGTCGGCCACGAGCACCCCCCGCATACAGAGAACATTTTCTTAGCCTCCCCCCTCCCCCACAGTCTGCAGGGATAGGATCCCCCAATTCGAGCCATTGTCAAGCACTGCCCTGTGGAATGTAAACTGTGCACCATGTTGCTTGACAATGCCCTGGAGGCTTCTTGCAAGCACTTGTTCTGTCGTGAGTACTTGGCAGTGCAGTTTGAATCTTATGAATCCACAATTCCTTGTCCCAACTGCCAGGCACCTGCACACTTCAAGGATGTCACTGCCCCCGTAGCTACTTTGCATCCTTATTTATGAGCCTGGTGATGAAGTGTACAGCATGCAAGGAGAGCGTTACTGTGGGGGGTGTCAGTTCACACATTTGCCAAACACATGATAAATCTTCCGTTGCTATTAACCCATCTCCTCTTGTGTTTCATGATCATTCTTATGCGGCGTCTTACGAACCTCCAAGTGAAGTCTCCCGTCTTCTTCAGCGTCCCATGACTGCCCCTGTTACCCCCGTGATGGAAGAACTGGGAACCCACATCTTGAATACCAAGCTGGCGCAGTCACAGGATGGATTGACAACACAGTACAGAACCGGCGGCCTGGCAAGATTTAAAACTGCATTTTCACGCCTTTTAATACATACGCATGTAGTTTAGTATAGGTTAAAGCATCTTTGTTATATCATCAAGTGTCTGACGACACTTTGTGTTCCCCAACCTCGGATGAGCAATGGGGCGGCATCCTCCAGCACCATCAGACAGCGTTCCAAGGTTCTTGATACCACCAGAGGTCTTGTCAGCATGGATGACAAAGAAATGCAACGAAAAGATGAGCTTTTCCCTGCGAGAAAATCTGCAGGGAATGTTGCAGGACCTGAAATTAAACACCATCAAGATCCCTGCCATGAAGATGCTTGCTGCAAATTCTCACCTCGGAATCTCTTGGGTGCGCATCACGGGATTGAAGAAATGGTTGAAGGGCTACAACATCTTAACTGAAGGTGAACAGGCCATGGGTCAGCAATAACATGACGTAATAGCTGACAACCTGTTCGCTGAAAGCCTCCCCTTTTCCTTCCCAGATGAAATCAACGGAGGAGTCACCATCAAGCAAGCCCGTGCGATAATGTGAAGTCCCTTGTGGCCAAGGTCACACAGCAACTGGATGAGTAAGACAAGCAAGAACAATAGTTTCATTATACATGTGTACTACATAAACAAAGAATTAAAATAGACACCTGCACTTGTATGCATTTATCTGTACATGTCTTCATATTGCAGGCACAATGGCACCATCCCAAACAACGAGGTTTGGGTGACAAGGGAGGCGGGACGTTTAAACAAGTGATTCTAGTCGGCAATGTTGAACGTCCCAACTCTCTCAGGCACACCGTTGTTGTCTGTGCTTTTGCAGCCAGGGACACGAGTGACAACCTGAAGACGGGACCAACAAGTTGCTGAATTCCAGTCGAGCACATGGAAGAACCATAACATCAGGCTCTTCATGTTCACCGGAGCTGGCGGTAAATAACGCTTTTTGTTTACATTCTGACTTAAAAATAATTTCTTGTGACTAATCTTCTACTGCATGAAATTCCTGAAAACTTGCAGTATTTTTAAATTCCTTAAAACAGGCCGTCACTGTTGCCTGTACTGTAACATCAACAAGGACAACATGTGGCTGCCCCGTGGAGAAAGACCACCATCCCAGCAGAGAACTCTGGAGTCCCTGAACCAAGACCTCCACAGATTTAAGACAGCTGGTTCCAATATCTCGAAAGCCGAACATTTCAACAACGTGATTAACGAGCCAATGTTTGCCATCCCACTGACACAGGTATTAATTTTATTTCATAATATTTGTTTTGTAGTTGATTGATGTTTGTTAAACGAGCGTGTAAAATTTAATTTACCTTCTGCACTTCTGACAACAGGTCTGCCCATCCGGGCTTCACATCAGTCTCAGGTTATACCTCAAGTATTTCAACAGCTTTGAAGGTGCAGGCCACGACCTTGACATGCAAGCGGCAGCTGTTCTAGCCGAGAAAGACCAAGGCGATCATGGTGCTCCGGCTCTTGGCTCTGGCTACCAAAAGCTCATCTCCGTGTTGAAGGTGGCACAGAGGTTAGAACAGCAGGCAGAGGCGTTGGATGAGGAGCTCAAGCTAATGGAAGACCAACTGACTGACATCATCTTGGCATTGGATGTATTGTTCCATTTTAATGTATCACAGAAGAAGTTGACTGCTCTCATCAAATGGTACAAGCAAAGAGGCCTCACACCAGTATATAGACAGTGGTCTGGTCCAAGCAATGCAGTCTCAGCTCTCGATGTCGATGGATACAGGTACTTCGTGTCTTACATGAATAGGTAAGCCGAGGAACATGCCCTGGTACTTTCTGGAATAACTCCTGGAGCGAAATTTGATGATGCAGGAACCATTTTACCCTCTTGTTCCCCTACAAAATCGGAGGTCGGCAAGTTGTTCAATGCAGCACGAAAAGCAAAAGGTACATCATAAACATTGCTTAATGCCTGTGTGTTGTTTAAATAGCTAGCTTTAGTAGACTGGAGATCCAGGTCGAGAACTTCCATAAAAGTTCACCAACTTGTCAAGACAAAGATGTGACCTTACATGAATTTAATTCTGGCTATGTCCTTTTTCTGCTGCAGTGTTGTCCTACAATTGTCAAGACACTCAGTAACTTTGTTGTACATGTACTTACAACAACCAATAGATCCAACCTGCAAGGAGATATCTACTCTGACAATCCACCGGCTCTGGAGGCAGTTGTTTCTAAATATCGTCATAGCCTACCCAAGGTCAGATCTTTGTAGGACCTGCCAGGAAAACACAAGCCTCCTTCTAAGATGTACAAACCTGTCAGACGGGGCAAAGTTGGAGCGAGTTGAGGCAGCACAGTGTCACCTTTGCCTTGAACAGCGTACACACTACAACAATGCTGTCTCTGACTGTAAACTTCAAGTTGGCAACAATGTCAATCTTGGCCTCTTGGCCTGATGGATGAAAAGGTGCATTTTGCTTTTGACTTTGCTCAGTAAATGCAGTTTCCATCGGATCCAATGCAGGCAGGTCCGACTTATTTCTTGACTCCTCGGAAGTGTCTTCTGTTCGGTGTGTGCTGCACTGGCATCCCACAACAAGTGAGTTCATTTTCCCTTTTATTTGTAAATGTTATTACAAACCATGCATAGCATTAAGAAAACTGAGTGTCCATCTGATTACAACGAGTGTAATGTCAAAATGTTTCATCGGAATTGATGGCTCTTTTTTTCTGTTGGACCACACATAATCACATGTAAAAGTAGTGTCCATGAAAACTAATCACCTTCTCGGTGTTCACCATGCATGAGGCCATTTAGCAAGGAGGGCTACCCTGCCAAAATTTCAAACGGCCCTGCCAAAGTTATCCCACCCCGTTAAAATCTTCACCGCCCGGCCTTTATTTTCCATTGGACTTTTCCTTATTTCAGTATTTCAACTGATTATGAAGTTTGCTGACTTTTTTTTTTAATGTGAAGAATTTGCCAGCAAACTTTCAAAAAGTGTATTGTTCTCACCTCAGACCAAAAGAAGACTAAGCGTACGAAACGTAATGCATGCATTTGCTTAGCGCTCTATCAGTCATTGTATGCAATAGACTTATTTTCCTACGTGGTGTCCCTATTTTTTCAGCTCCGGATAGCTTGAAATGAAAACCAACCATTGTTTCCAGTGTGAAATTTTATAACAAAGCTCCGTTTTGAAACGTTGAAAGTCTTTGAGTTTCTTGGTCTTCAGTTTTGTCATTAAAAAGTTCTGAAGGCAGGAGTTTTGGCCAGATTTTTTATTTTGATATAATTAAAAATATTTTTCTTATATAGTAATTTCTAACATGCTGCTGTTTCACTTAAGGTGGATGCTACAAATTCTGAAGGCTTTGGGAGAATGGTCAACGATGGAATGGGTTTTATAGACAGTTGCAAGGTGCAGTTGATGTACGATCACCTGTGTCTATTTGCTACAGTTGGTATACCACAGGATACAGAACTGCGCTTCGATTACGGAGTCACCAACCAGCCATGGAGAAAGGTTTGACATTGTTTAGATTACTATTTGTTTATGGTTCACTGGCCCCTGATGACGAAATAAAAAGAAGTTGCCCTGTTGCCAAACTTCCAAACGAAAACGCTGTTGTTCTTGAATTACAAATTATTTTGCATGGCAAGGCAGTGAAGGCTGTGTGTGACTCCCAGATTATGGCAATGATCCCTAAAATGTTATCACATTTACACATTCAGTATGTATGCGTCCTTATAAGTCAATTTGGCTATCACTCGTAGTGCATAAATTTGAACAAATTAACATCAACAAAATGAGAGTGTAGAATGTCATTTACATTTCTCTACATGCTTTTATTTTAATGAGATTTTGTGAATGTCTCAAAGTCTTGTTAGTGCCATTGTTTATAGTCCAAATACTGCTCAAAGATTGAAAAATGTTCCCTATGTAAAGACAGTATAAACCATAATGTACCATGACAACAAACTTTTTCTGATTGCATTGAAACTTGAAATATTTACTGAGGATGCTACTTGTGGTGCCATTACCATTTAAAGTAGGCCTACTTTTATTTCAAAATTTAAAGTAAAAACAAATCATGTGCTCATTAAGTTAATTTTCATGACCTTCTTTGTGCCTTTATTATTAGTGTTCAGCCTCACTATATTATGTAATATTTGTTAGAAACGAATTATATTCACTTTAAAAACTACAAGTAATGAGGTAACAGGCGTGGCAGAGGACCCATCCGTCCTTTTGTGGGCTTAAATTTGTAAAGTTGAATTGCAAACATGTTTGGAGGAAAAGTACAGTTTAAAGGTATTTGTTATGATCCCTGAAAAAAAGTTTTACTTCTTATTCATTTGGATAGAGCCACGCGGGGAAGAAATTTCACAAAGCGCATTGCCGTCCACGCCCTTTTAATTGCCACAATGCCCCTGTAAAATAGCCGTTTCCACGGCCAGTTTTGCAGTTCAAATGCCATTTCAGTACTTTGGTAGTACTCAGTGGTGCCCTTTTCATTCAAAACAACAATTTTAAGAATAATACAGCGCACACATTGTGAGCGCGTTCTCCTAACTGCAGCGGCTTTAGTTTTTTCTATTGATTTTAATTTAAACAGGGAAATTTAATTATTCAATTTTAAGAAAATAAACGTTCAATAAAGGAGAAATAATATTTGTTTGTGTATTTTTAATGTTTTTATTGATTTGTCTTGTGTTATGGAAATATATATTAATTTGGCAGATTTTTGCCCTTCCCTACGTGCACTCTAAGAAACGGAGTGCTGATTTAGCACCTGAAGATCAAAAAAATTAGCACCTACTGGAGCTCGTAAAGTGACTGCACTCGCTGTGCTTAGTCAGCACCAACAGTAGTGCTACAACAGCAGCACTCCAAATGAGCTACAGACAGTGCACCTCAGGTGTTATGCTTTAGAACACCTGCAAGGAGCTACATTAACTATGCACTTCAGGTGTTGGGGCCGTTTCCTACAACTCCTGCACCTAAGGTGTCATTTTTAAACTTTCAGGAGCACTTGCTAGAAGCTAAATAATGCACTCTTCATGTTCGGTGTAATGTCCTATATTTTTGCACTCCTGGTGTTAATTTGTACTGAAGAGTACCAGAAGAGTAAACAAAGGCTCGAATGAAGAAAAACAAAGGATCTTTCAGCATCTTCATATCCATCATTTTTATTTCATAACTTTCCGAGCAGAAAACAATGTCTTCATTATTAAAAAGATGATTAAAAATTCTTAAGATATATTTTAAAGTAACTCAGCCTCTTTTGAATCAATCATGTCATGTCTTTTAAAAAGTTTGCACTTATTCTGCTATGGATTTTATAAAAAAGAAACTACATTTGTTTTCATATGGTTACTTTCACTTTATAAAACTGGATTAAGCACTGAACAGTTAAAGTAGAGCCGCTGATTGAAAAAGCTGCCTGAAATAAACTGTGACGATTTTGCACTTACTCTGCAGTGCATTTTAATTAGTAAAATAATAATTTGGTCTTAGTACTCAATTGTGAGGGGAATGATTTACATGTGTGATTCACTTAACAGATTTCTTTGAAAGAACTCTTAAAGTTTCTTCTAGTGTCTCCCAAAACATGTCAAACATA